GGAGGAGGATGTTCAGGAGAGGCTTCCTGAGCTTTGGGGGTCATTAGGCACAATCACACGCAGTCCTTGAAGGCACAGGCAGGAGGGCAGGAGCATTTATCCTCCCAATAGCTTTGTACCTTGTCACCTGAAAACATATGACAAACACTGATTAATCTTAACACCATCTGAGTGTGAGAGGTGTATATTATTATATCCCTCTTGATGGAAGGGGAATCAGCAAGAAAGAAATTAAGCAATTTACTGTCTGACAGTGGCAGAGCGAGGTATAAAGGCTGGGTGTCCTGATACCTGCTCTCTCCATTAACAAGAGATGTATTTGTTCTCCAGAGGATTTTTCACTAGCAGGGATAGGATTCCTTTGCCTTTGAAAGAGAAATAGCCTTTCCCAGACTGCTGCATCTTACAGTTTTTGCCAGAAATTACATTTGGCATGCTCTTTCTGTTCCACTCTCTCCCAGAAGAAAATAATTGGGGAGAAAACATCAACATCTTAATCTACATTAAAAATATTTTTCCCTAATATAAACAGGATTTAAATTTGTAATTGAAATATATTTTACAATAGTAAGAAGCAAAACTAATCCCAATCTGTATTATTTTGCTGCACAGAATAATTTTTCCAGCAACATGCTTTCAGAATAGGTAATGAAATGTTTTATGTCAATATGAATGAAATTTTGCAGCCAACCTCTCCTGAGTCAGTGCTGCGGATTCCAAAAAATGTTGTTTACAGAGTTGTGTTGCAGATTTAACATGCTGATTTCCTGCCCTGGGTTTTAGGTGTAAAACACTTTCCTCATGGGAAGAGAACAGCATATTGTAGCAGAGCTTGTTTCACATCCACTGCAAGAGGGCTCCAGGCTCGGATTTCTTGTTGATGGTTTTGAATGCAGTGTCTCAACAATGGGCCCACCTTTCTTCTGCTCTGTCATCACCTTTTTTTCAGAGCAGACTTCTGTGGTCGTTGTATTGTAACCAAATACTGTGGCCAAATTTACCATGTATCAATGCTAAACTGAAAATCAGGGTATTATTCAAAACACTGCATTTTTCACGTGGTCTGAAATACCAGAGCATTTAGGCTCTTGATCAGCTTTTTTTTTTTTTTTTCCTTCTGTGTGTGGGTTTTTTTTTTTTTTTTCTCCCTTTCCCAAAATACCTCTAGAATTAAAAGATAAAGGGAGAATAAATTTTCTGCCTGTTCCACAGTCCTTGTCTCCCCTTCATGTGTTGGATGTGGATGCTGGTGCCTCCTGCATTCCCGAGAAACACAATGGGATCAGTTACATCAGGTTGGGTCCCAGGGCCTCTGTGTCTTCTCCTGGCCATCCTTGGGTCTGGATGCAGAAATGGGAACAGAATAATTTCATAGAATTTCATAGAGTCACAGAATGGTTTGGGTTGGAAGGGACCTTAAAGCTCATTTAGTTCCACCCCCCTCCCATGGCAGGGTCACCTTCCACTATCCCAGGTTGCTCCAAGCCCTGTCCACCCTGGCTTTGGACCCTTTCCACAGCCTCTCTGGGAAATCTGTGCCAGGGTCTTGCCACTCTTCCAGGGAAGAATTCCTTCCCAATATCCATCTAACCCTGCCCTCTGGCAGTGGGAAGCCATTCCCCCATGTCCTATCAGTCCATGCCCTTCTAAAAAAATCCCTCTCCAGCTCTCTTGGAGAACCTCTTCAAGTACTGAAAGGCTGTGATAAGATGATCCCAAAGCTTCTCCAGGGTTGGAATTGGAACAAGCCCAATTCTCTCAGCATTTCCCCACAGCAGAGGTGCTTTAGCCCTCGAATCACCTTTGTGGCCTCCTCTGGGCTCACTCAAAAAGCTCCATTTGCTTCTTATGTTTCAGTCCCCAGAGCTGGACACAGCACTGCAGGTGGGGTCACACCAGTGGAGTGGAGGGGGACAATCACCTCACTTTCCCTGCTGCCCATGCTGCTTGAATTTGCAAGGGGGCTGCTTTTAAGACTGCAAAAAAAAAACAGAAAAAGAGAAGACCCTTCCTGCCCATCCATAAATATTTCATTCTGATAATTTCTTATTCATTCCTTGGTTCACTGGGGGTGTAGCATTTCCTTTGCTGCCCTGGTGGCACAGGAGGCAGCCCACCTCCATAGCTCCTGGCCTTGTCTTCCCCACTGAATACAGCTCTTGGTCAACAAAAACTGGGGCCAGCAGAGCCCTCCAAAGAGGACATTTGACCCTTGGCTGCAGGGAAGTGTGCAAATCCTGCAGGCCCTGGTCCTGCAGGCATTTGCCTCTGCTTGGCTTGGAGGAGAGGAATGATCTGTTTGTTCCATTGAGGTCAGCACTTACGGGATGAACCATCCATATGCATGAGTGTTCCAGTGGCAGGTCCCCAGTTAGGCTTTCCTGGCCCCTGTGAAGGAGAGTGCATCTCCTGCCCAAGCCTGTGAGGGCAGGCTGATGCCAGGGTGGTTTCCAGAGCCCAGATGTGCTCCTGTGCCTGGGATGGAGGGCGTTTGGAGGTGGCTTTCCGTGTGCTGCTGTCACCCATGCGTGCCCTGGGCAGGGCACGGCCACCAGTCACAGATGTGTTGGTTTGGGTGAGGTTTCTATTGTTAAAGCCCTTGGTTTTTTTTCAGAGGTAGTGAATGCTTCAAGCTCCCTTCCGGCTTCTCTCGCAGTTGGTGAAAATCAGCATTTTTGAAATTTCATTTCTCTATGGCATGGTTTTTTCCATTGTCAACCAGGGCTTAACTTGGTGACTGTTTGTTAGTAATTTCTTTGAAGACAATGGTGCAAGATGCCCTTGATCTATAGACCAGGATTTTATTATTTTGTCATATACATTTTTGGTAGATTTCTTCTGCTGCTTCAAAACAAATGGCACCAATCTCGCTGTATCCAGTTGGGAATACATTTTATTCTTTAGCAAAATGTTGTTGTAATAAAATGTTTTTGTTGGTTAAAATACTCTCTGCTTTATTTGTAAGCCACAAATGTGTCTTCCCGTCTTGACTCTCACAAAAGAAGAAATTTTCCGATGTGTCTGAAGTTTGTTAGTTAATTCAGTATAATGCCAATCAGATACTCTCTGAGAATTGCATAAATAATATTTTAGGCCCCACGTTTTGCATGTCTGTGTAATATCCAGCATAATTTTCAAGATCATGGTTCTTGAGGATGGAATTGGAGGAGAGAATGTTTGAAGAGGATTTGTAATATTTACTGCAATAAAGAAATTTAGGGATTACTCAAAGATCCTGTCAGTATTTGGGTCAGAAATATAGCCCAGAGGTATTAGTATGATAGGCAAGTTTAAGCATTAGACTGTATTAGTGATTTAGCTATCATAATAGCACAATAGTCCATCATGTGATGGCTTGTGCACGAAACATTTATTGTGGATTAGCTGGGAAAAATGCTCAAGCTGTCTTGCAAACAGGCCAGGGAAGGTGACTGTTCCTCCTTTCAGTGGGTCTGTCCTGGAAGGGGGTGTATTGGAGGGGAAGAAATCTGTTGTTGTAGCAGAGAAAAGCGAAATTGTTTCCATCTGAGTTTTTTAATTCAAAAAACAAAATGTTGCCTCTGTAGCAGTGGTCAGGAAAATAAGGAGCAGTTGAGCTATTCTTCTTTGAAAAGGAATATTTGAGCATGAGCAGCCTGTCATAATCTGGGTTACATGTTTTGGGGAGCCATTTTATTATCTCCTCTGAAAACAATGACTCTATATGGAAATTTTTATTACATTCCCAAATAACAATTTTCTGTGCTGTGATTCCATCTAAATCCCTTTGCCTACTCCAAGTGTAAAAAAAGCTTAATCCACATGAATGTTGAAATACTGCTCAGTACAAATTGAGTTTTGTGTGATGTTTCTGAGTGTTTTCCTATTTCTTAAACATGTAGTTTTTCCAAAGGAAGCTGGCGATAATGGGCAAAATTCTGCTATTCCTTTTTGCTTTGTTAGGCCAGGCTTTAGATCCTTTCATCCTCTCTTCCTTCTCCGTGACCTGTGCTAGAGTCTTAAAATTATACATTCCAGATTACACCTCCACAATTTTCTGTCCTGGGATGATGAAAGGATTTGCGTATTATGGTAATATTATAAAAAAATCTTTTTGGAGCCTAGTTAGCGTGGCTGATTTCAAACTACAAAAAAAAAAAAAAAAAAAGTAATTTCCAATGCAAATTATAATATTCATAAAGTGCTAAACAGATACCTAACTAATTTCTGACTGCTCTTGTATTCCCAAATATCTTGCACTGGCCTTTTTTAGGCCTGTCTGTTGGCTCCCATTTAATTTGTCCTTAGCTGTGTGCAGTGGATTAGCATTTCATCAGGTTGGATTAAGATTGAGCTGACACTGAAGCTTTCTTTTTTATTTTTACATGTGCCTGTGTGGGGCCGAGCGGATCCGCGCACGTTCCGTGATCCCGCTGCCCATCCCCGTTGGGTGCTGGGACAGCCTCCCCCAGCACGTGAGGGGGGAGACAACCAAAACAGAGGAAACACGTTAAAAAAAAAAAAAAAAAGTTAAAAACAAACAAGCAAAAAAAAAAAAAAAATCATCATTCCCTGGGGAAAAAATTGCATTGAGGTTGCTGGCTGGGTCAGTGCGTGAGATTTCATCAGGCTAAAATGATGTCACATGGAGCGAGGGCTTTAGTGGTTTTATTTAGCTCCTAATCCCCACACACTGCTCGGCCAGTTGTCCATGTGCGCTCGCCGTCCCCAGCGGCACAGGATAAAGCATCTGGGCTGAGCGCGGCCGCTCTCCTGCGCGGCTGCAGCGCACGGCCAGGGGCAGCCCCTCCGCCGGCCGCCGCATGCTCTGCCTGCTAAGGTTTCCGAGGATTAATAATTCAAGCGACACTCGAAAGGCAAAACCGCCGGCTGGTGCTTTCTGAAGTCCCGGGAGGGCTCAGGCACAGCACGGCCCAGTTTGGATGCGTGTGCCGGAGAAGCACTGAGAAGGAAGGCACCTCCTCTTCTCTGTGTCAACGGCAGCAAGTGGCCTCGTGGTGATGCCCATCCCCAGCAAGCACCCCAACATCGGCCGCTCGCAGAGCTGGGACGCTGCCGGCTGGTATGAGGGAAACTGGGAGAGCGAGAACGCCTTCGAGTACCAGAGGCCACCAGGCCGGAGGAGCTCCCTGACCTATGGTGGTGAGGGCGGCTGGTACGAGCCACCTCGGGCAAATGATATCATCTTGCAGGGCGGTGCGGAGCTGAAGCAAGAGGCGTACCCGTACCAGGATGCCACCTTCGCGCCGGGGCCCCTGAGGAAGGGCTCTGTCCCCGACTTCGCCTACTGCGACCGGCCGGCGCCCATGGCGGGCCGGGGCTCTCTGCCGCCCCAGGATTACTACAGCGATCCATCGCTGTCGGCGAGGTCACCCAAGGACCCCCGCTGCTACCGCGACCACGTGGCGGGCAGGCCGCTGGCGAGCTATGGGGCGCCTGGCAGCCGGCTGTCCTGGGACCAGACCGCTGTGCGCCCACCTGCCCCACCGGATGCCACCCGCCTCTACAGAGACCCCAAGCTGGCCCTGGATGGGCAGCGGATGCGGGGCAGAGATGTCTCCCCAGCGTGGTACGGCACGGAGCCCCCCGGCCCACGGTACGCGGCAGAGCCACCTGCCTTCCCCAGCAGGCCAGGCTACAGCGATGGGGCAGAGCGGGCTCCCGAGGCGGCAGCGGCGGCCAGGCAAGCCGTCCCCACCTGCCTGGTGGTGGATCCCACCACCAGCACCGGCAGCAGCTATGGGCCAGGCAGGGAGAGCACCGGCACCAAGGGTCCCTACGACGGCTACGAGGTGGCGGTGGCGACGCCTTCCCATCCGCCGGTGCCCCCCGCCTTCCCTGGGCCGGAGGGCAAGAGGAGCTTTGACCCCGAGTTTGTGGCACTGCTGCGTGCGGAAGGCGTCTCGGAGAGCACCTTTGCTGCCCTGCTGCAGCAGGGCTTCGACTCCCCGAACCTGCTGGCCATGATGGAGGAGAACGACATCAAGTCGGTGGCACCCAACTTGGGGCAGGCCCGCGTGCTGTCCCGCATCGCCCACAACTACAAGGCAGAGATGCAGCTGCAGAGACAGGAGCGCAGGAGTGGGGCACTGCGCCCCAGGACCCGCTCCAACAGCTTCAGCCACCGCAGCGAGCTCCCAGCTGAATACGGGATGCCCACCGTGGATGGCCCTGGCACCTCGCAGCACCCGCCACCGCTGCAGCCGCTGTCCCCAAGAGGTGTAGAGATACACCGCCGGCCATCCAGTGCCCCGACCCAACACTTGCTGGAGACCACCACCTACCCAGCCCCCGCGGGGGCTCCTCAGGGGCCACACTTCCTCCCTGGTTCGGGATACAACACCCCCCTGCCTTGCAGCACGCCCCCGCGTCCCGCCTCTGCCTACTCTGCTCCAGTCGGCTTGCCCATGACGGCGGCCAACCCGCACGCCAGCCCCAAGACGGCGTACCCCACCACCTACACCGTGCCCATGGAGCTGATGAAGAGGGAGCGGACAGCGGTGGCGTCACCAGCACCCAGCCCCCACAGCAGCCCCCAGCTCCTCCGCCGGCCGGGGACAGCAGGGGACAGCAGCCTGGCACCCGCTGGACCCGCCTTCCCTGCCCAGCTCTCCCCGTATCCGAAGCTCAGCAGGCGCACGGGGCCCCCCGTCATCGTCTCCACCATGGCGTCGCCTGAACCAAGTAATTCCTGGAGGGGCTTAGTCCATATAGTAGTTTAGAACCACCTTGTTGTTGCTTATTTTACCCCTCAAAAAAACCCCACAGTCAAATATCATGGGGTTTCATGCCTAAATATTAAATACTGTTCTGCGTAGAAAACGAGGTGAAGGGGATTCCTTTGCAGGGCTGTGCTGGCTATGCAGAGCTAAAGATGCTGATTCTTGCACAGTGGTTAAATTCCAAATATTTTATTTGTTTAGCCAACTTCAGTTAAACATGAGCGGTATCTCAGATAATGCTTCCAGGGTTAATCTTGCCATTCCTGTTGTTTGTCGAGAACAGGAGATTAGACGCTGTGCTGGCTGAGCAATTAGGACTACAGGGTTTGCTGCAGATTGACTTTTTACCGCTGTTATCAGGCACAAATGTGTCCCTGTGAGGAAATGGTTAGCATTGTTTTGACTAAATTCATCAGATAGTTAATGGTGTTATTCGAGAATAGACTTACCTTTGGCCATTACCTAAGGCTTTTCTTCTTATTATTAATTTGCTGTTTTATCAAGCATACAAAATAAACCCCTTGATTTCCTTCTCGAGATGCTTGTAAGTGAAGCGATAGAGCTGTTAAAGTAATAGGGCTGTGCTTAAAACTAAAAGCCTGTCATTAAGCACTGGAACAATAAAAATGAATGGTGGCTCCTAGACTTCCCTTCTCTTTCTAGAAATGCTCAGGCTCTTGGCTGCTCGGATGAAAAGCTGAACAATCCAAGCAGGCTCTGCTTCTCCACTTTGGAGATGTGGCACTCAGAGCCTGATAGAAATTAACCCTCAAAATCACCTGGAGAAGTACAAGGGAATTCATCAAATCCATTCATTTGTGGCTTGACTTGTTAGAAAAAAATGTGGAAAGACACCCCTTGACGTGTTTTTTGCTGGTAGTGACTCCGTGAGCAGGGAGTTTTCTCCCTGGGCAGTGCAGCTGAACTCCCATGCAAACGATTCCCCAACAATTTGCCGTACCAGCACACACACACAAAGCTTTAATAAGAGGGATACCATTTATAGGCATCGAGACAGTGCCAAACTGGTGATGCCATTCCACAGGAATCTAAATAAAGAACGATTTTGTGAGTGGAAATGATAAAGTTGTCAAAATGCAGACACTTGGCACACCCTTTTCCCTGCCATACCATAATTACACAGCTAGGAAGTAAATGCCGGTCCTTTCACGCTTATGAGTCCTTTATGTAGCTGGTGTAATGTATTGATTTCTAAAAAATGCTTCAATATTAGGCAACATGTTCTGTGTTGACATGGATCAGATGCTAAAGTAGTACATCCAGGCAGTATTTTTAAATAAATGCAGCTAAGAAGACGAACTGGCATAATGTGGGGAACACAAATATGTTCATTTATTTGTGCTGCGTCTGATTGAGCGGTCGATGCCGACGCAGCGACAGCTCTGGGCTGAAGGACCTCCAGAGCACAGGGATTGGGAGCAATCTCCTCCACCATGGGAAACAGATCCCTGCTAACCTGCTTCTCATTTATAAACTGCAAACCCCGTTCTCTAAAAATCTTGAAATTATCCCTTCTCTTCACCAGAATTACTGGTACACAGCAAGAGGAAGCCAGCAGCATTTCTGTGCTGTTGAGCTCTTTCTTGCTACTCAACCCTCTTTTTTTCTTTTTTTTTTTTTTTTATTTCTTTTGCCCACGACCATCTCATTTGCATGAGGATGACATTTGTTGCTCCAGTAATTTCATCTGATAATGGCCAGCTTGCAAAGCGGATCTGAAAACATATTCCTTAATTATGTGTTGCCAAGCAACGGGAGGGTTTGGCCATAATCACAGAAAGATTATCTTCTCATTGAAGGCCCTGAAAGGTTTAGCTGAAGTAGGACCTGTAAAATTGTCTTCATTTTTATTTATTTCCCTTTTTCCCTTCCAAATAGCCTGAGAGGTTTTCTTCCTGTTAAACTATATTTTAAAAGTAGAAGCCAAGGTAAGGCACATGGCACATGGAAAGATTAAAAATGGGGAAGTGTGTGGTGGTTTGTAGTTGTTTGAGCTGTGTTGAGCAGGAGTGTTCACACTTACCCACGAGGGGATAAGCTGAGGTTAGAGATATGTTAAGATGTTTTAAAGCTTTGAGTGGATGGCAGAAACTTGACTAAATCCAGGAAAATTGTATTTGCCAGCCAGGATGTGTTTTCAGGAGTGATGAGCCTTCTCTTGGCTGTAGCTTTGGCTGTGGATATTCGAGTTAGAAGGTGAAAGCAAATTCAGTTTTAAACTCTGTCTCCAAATGGCTGCAAATATTTTCTGTCAGTGTAGGTTAATGTCTGCCCAGGCAGCAGAGGGTTATAAAGTGCACGTTACAGAGGGTTATAAAGTGCACATTACAGCCCAGTCATGTTTTGAAGCTTGTTATATGGATAAGACCTTAAAACAGACCATTTTGGGCTTTGAACAGACCATTTTGGCTTGAACTATGCATTGTAGTGTTTCTACAATTTGTGCCTAAATACCCCATTTGTCATTTTATGCTGAGTTTGACACTCTGAGTGCATTCTGCACAGCTGCTGTTCACTTTGGAGTTTGGACAGAGGGCTTGCAGGAGGGAGGTGTCTTCTCCTGCCTGGTATTCCTGGTGGCTTCCTGGTGGCTTGCAGGGGGAAGGTGTATTCTCCTGCCTGGTGGTAGAGACAGGATCCTGGGCAGGGATACAGGCACGTGCCACATGTTTATGGACATCTTGCTTTGGCGTGGTCAGATAAGGGAAAAGGAGCAATGAGATTTAGTGCTGCAACTGCTTTGTTTTTCTTAAAATAATTAGGAATAAGTTAGGTAAATTGGCCTTCCAGGGAGTTGCAGGGTTGTACGAAGAGGAGGTGGTGAATGAGCACTTTAAGCCCTTTGCTGAGGTGGTAGAGTGACGTCTCCAGAGATGAGCCAGCTTCCCGTGCCAGGAACTCCCGTGCCACAGCTCTGGCAAAGCTGCTGCTCTCCATGTCATTGAGACCTTGTCAGGAATAGCTGAGAGGAGTGTTCCAGCAGCCTGGCCACCCAGAGGATCTCCAGCAGTGAGCACACCAAGGCAGCTCAGAAAGCCCTGCAAGGTCTGAGTGACAGACACGTGTCAGTAGGAGGGCTGAGCCAGAGCGGGTTTGTGGCCAGCCCCGTGCTGAGCTGGGAGGGAGTGCAGGGAAATAAATAGTCCAGGTCAGCAAAGCTGGTGAGGGCAAGCAGTATCTCATGGTCACTGATCACATTGCTGCAGCTCTGCTTCCAAATTTTGCAACTTTATACAGTTTACGATGTTTGCTAGGATTTTTATTACATTACTTCCTTTTTTTTTAACCCGATGTTTTAGTAGTAAAGCAGTTGGCAGATGAGAAGTCTTGTATTTTTGTAGCTAGCCTGGACTTTTCCCAAAACAGTGGCCAGTCCAGATTTCTGTTTCTGATGCTGGACTTACGGAGCTTAAATGAGAAATGGTGATTCATTGTAAATATGTGTCTTGGGTGGTTTATCAAACTCTCATTTGCACACGAAGATATGAAAGTGAATTATCACAAAAGGGAAGATGCTTCCCACAGGGATGAGGGGCAGGGCTGCCCTGTGGAGTCAGGTGGGTATCATCAGGAAGCAAGGGCAGAATTACTTGGCTGTAAGATTTTGTTGAAAGCCTGACCTTTTCCTGAGCAGGGAAAGCCAGGCTGAGGACAGCTGCCCTCCTTGGACAAGTTGTTCTCTCCAGTGTGAAGGGGACTCATCCTCTCTTTTATCAGCTTAGAGCCCAGTTAGAAATGCCTTTCACTGTGATTAGCTCAGCTCTGCTTGTACTCTTTAAACACCTCGTTGTGATGCCTTTTATTGGTATTTCCCCCCTGTGACAGATAAAAACTGTGTTAACCACACATAATTGCAGGCTGAAACTCTGCACATGGGCAACTCCCAAAGAGGGAGGGGTATAGGCAGGAGCAAGAGCCTTGATGGTCATTAAAGGATGGTTAAAACAGCCTATCAAAGATGGTTAAAACACTGACATTTGTAAGCTATGAATTCTTTTAACCTAATTAATTTAAGCTAAATTGCCATAGTTTTCTATGGGAAAAGTTTAGCAAGATCTTTCCAACACAATATAAATTTCCTGAGCATTTGCTGATGTTTATTTATTCTTTGCCCAGTACAGTGGACAGCTCAGAAATCGACTTCAGGTTTTCTTCCGTGTGTTTTCTGTACAAACCTCAGCATGGAATCACAGTGTGTCCATGTAAGGCCTCTCAATTAACAATCCGGACTGAAACAGCACCGAGGGAAGCTCCGAGCACTGAATAAATCTGATTTCATTTGCACATTGACCTGACAGACCATAGCATGTCCTTGGAGCCGTTCCCAGCTAGTGTGTTAGTCCAGGTAAACCCTGCACTGCACTCACTAACAAAAACATGGAGTAGTGTTTTTAACTGGGATCTTAACTTCCATACAAAAATACAGGTTGAAATAAGCAGACAGGTCTTTCTCATGTCTGCTGTCCCCGTGGTCACAGCATCAGGACACTAATATGCAAAATGATAAGGGAAGTAGCTGGAAAACTCAGAATGAGTTTGTGAAAGCCTTTGGAAGGCTCAGAAGGACCCTCACCAACCTCTGCTGAGCACGTGAGCCTGTGGATCTTAAAACTGAAGGGACCCCAACTGCAAACCTTAGCAGGGTGAATGGCTAGGGAGCAGAATGTGCAAGAGATGTGCTGTTGACTATCTTGATATAATACTGACTGTCTTGGCCAATCTGCACATACAGTTCATTGGTGGCAGAGAATATGCTTTTAAAATACTTCTTTAAAGGCTGAAATACGCTTTTTATAATGGTTTTATCAAAAGCAATATAAAGTGTCAAACTCATTCCAGTTGCAATTCATTGACTTTAGTGCCGTGGCAATAAAAATGAATTTGGCCTGTCGAAGGAGAACGTGTTGTCAGATGCACAAGTGTTGTCATCTTCAATTTACA